AAAGGGTCTTCGTTTCTTCTTACTTCGGGGTTGAACGGATCTCCAACTGGAAGAAGACTCAACAGCATGATTGAAAATGTCTGGTCGATCGTCAAAACGAACTCTTTGCGTAACAAAATTGTCAATGTTTTCTGTGTTGTCAAAATCGGTGCACATAGTGTTTGATGCGGAAAGGACTGGCATGGCCACGCTTCCCAGCGGGCGAGTGATGAGGACGGAGGATCCCTGAGAGACCACTGCGGCCATGACCACTGCTCGAAGGAGGCATACCGCTGCCGGTGCATTGGAAGAAGAAGATTTCCCACCTTTTCTCCTCTGACTCTCAGAGCCAGTTGAGTTGTCGGAGCCTGATGATCCTCGTGAGCTGCTTCGCTTGCGAGGTTTCTTGTCTTTCTTTTTCTTCTTCTTTTTGTCCTCTTTCTTCGCAGGGACAGTCTTTTCAGGGTGTTGGAATGCGCAGTCTTTTCCTCGGTGGCAATGTCCTGCCTTCCAAAACTTGCAAGTCTCCTTGCGAGATCCTGGTGTCAGCGATCTTGACCGAGATTGGCTGCGATCCTTACCCTTTCCCTTTCCTTTGCTTTTCTCGCGGCCTTTTTCGTGCTTGTAAGGACATGATGATCCGCGCTTGCATTTTCCGGTCTTTTGAAACTCGTAGCAGATGCCTTTCTTCTCCTCCGGAGCTGGCATGGTTGTATCTTTGGACCCGAGCGAACGCTTCGTGGCGTCGCGCATCTTTTCCAACCTTCTCCGTTCAAGGTAGGCCCGGGCAGCAGTGATCAGGAAGTCGTACGTTCTTTCTTTGCTTCCATCGGCTGCACGGTCGTACAAGGCCAAATCATGCTCAAGTGGCTTGAAACGTTTCACTGCCAGGTGGAAATAGGCTTCCAGAACACTATTTTCTGGTTCCTTTTTCATTCCGGCAAGAACGCTATCCCATTTATTTATAAAGCCCTTGAGGTCATCGTTGACCATTTTGACGGACATGAGGTCTTCGAGTCCGTAGATTGCTCCATGCTTGATGCTTGTGGCAAAATACTCGTGGAACCGAAGGAGCAAGTGCCTACCCTTCACGTTCTTGTCTTCACGAGCACGCAGCTCCTTGAATGTAGCAATCTGCCGACCGAGGTCCCCCTCAGCGCAATTGGTCAAGCTTGCAAGAAGCTTTGCGTCGAGGGTTGCGAATCCCTCTGAATCATCCAAGGCATCAATGGTTTGGGACTCTTTGTACACTTTCCCAACCCATGACCTCGCTTCATCCGGCTTTGCTGAAGCTGCAGCAATGTTGTCCCTCACCTTGATCTTCCAGTCTCTGTACTTCTCAGGTGTGGGGAACTTAAGAATGAGAATTTTGTCAGCCTCTTTGGCTTTACTCTCATGATCCTTGTCTTTTGACTTCCTTTGCTGCTTCTTCAGCTCCTTGCGGATGATGCGTGCAAGACGCGATGATTCAGAACTTGAGTCATTGGAGTCAGCACTCCCTCCTGACGAACTGGGTGACGAAGGCGATGGGGAAGGAGAGCGTTTCTTCCTGCGCTCTCTAGAGCGGCCCCTTTTTGGACTCCTCTCTTTCTTCCTCTCTTTACCTTTCTTCTTCTTGTCTTTGTTTGACTTGTCACCACCCTCTTCATCAGCATCGGATGGATGAGGCTCTTCACCGCCTTTGATCCCGGGCTTCTCCAACTGAGTGCGAAGGCTCACCGGAGGCAAAGCTGGGGATGCCTGAGACCCAAGCGGCTGCATTGTTGGTGCAGGCACTCGGTTCCCCGAGGCGTTGTCAAACCTCTCTCTCAACTCCTTGATTATCCGACTCTGTTCGGCTAACTCCGACCGAAGTGCATCCTCTCTTTGCTTGGCAGAGGCGCGTTCGTTCTCAACGACGGCGTGTCGTTCGAGCGAAAGGCGATCTAGGTAAGCCCGTTGTTCATGAATATGTTGATGTTGATGGGCTTGGTTCATGTCACTCAATCGTTGATTGGCTAAAGCCTCAATTTGTTCCCTAGACTCCTGGACAGCCACTTTAGCTTGGTTCTCCACTAAGTCCCTAAAATGTCTTGCATCCTCTGCTGCTTGTTGCCCGTGCTCGGCCAAAATGGCCTGATGCCGCAGCTCCGCGATCTGAGCTACCTGAGCTGACCTGTCCTCATTGACAAAGACTGCTTGTTGATGGATCTGTCTTGCATCAACGTTCTGGACATTCATCACAGGAGAAAACTCAGGTTGAAACGGCGACGGGGCTTGACCACTAGGCAACAGGTCCCCCTGTGCACTGAACGTCGGTGGCACAACTGGCACACGCAACTCCAGCGGAACGACAGGGAGCTCAGGAGCAGGTGAACTGGACATCGCAGGCGAAGTGGGAACGTAGCCTGAGCGTGAGCGGTCGCCACGGGAAGCATCATCATCAGCCATGGCCTCTAGATAGTGCACTACCTATGGTGGGGTGAGACCACAGCTAGTAGAAAGCACGTACCGCACTTATGGCGATACGGCTGATAACCTGTAGTTACAGGTAAACGACCGAGAACTACCAACAAGTCGCACCTGGTTTTCCTTGAGCCAAAATGGTAGGTAAGTGAGACATGTATTAGACATCCTAGCGTGAAACAACAATTTATATACCTGGACCCCATTTGACCTCTGTTTTGATAGAAAAGACCAGATTTTAGGTGGCTGGTGGTCCAATATAGAGGTCACTCAAGTTCTAGGTACACAAAGGATCTCATGATCATTTAACAACTTGAAAAACCAACTCTAGAGACTCTACCAGAGACCACGAGGCCAACTACGTAGTAGAGACCAAGTAAGGACCACTGAAGCCACCGTTTCAACCTCCCACTCCGATCATATCCGATATTGGAAAATCCGCTCAATGGATAGGGCCTCCGATCCAACCATATTGTACGATGAACGCTACTAGGGACTCCTGGCATCACTACTTGGAGCGCGAGGGGCTCCTGGCCTTACTACTGGGAACAATAAAGCTACTACTTTCATCTACTTTCTTTTTCTTCAAGAAAACCTAACAGCCCACCTTCAGAGTGCCAATGCTGATCACGACGGTAATGCCCATCCCCTGCACGTCGTAGCGGTTGGAGGACACCAGCTTCCGCAAGGACGGGCCATTCTCGTCCCCCTCCTCGTCGCGAGTGATGACTTCAAACCTCAGTCGTGGGAAAAAGAGGGAGTCCTTCACATCAGGTGGAAAAGCAAAATTCCGTCGAGACAGTCTAACCCCCCTGTCTCCGCCCCTAGTCATACTCGGCCTGTTTCTTCGTTCGCCGCTTCATCTTGGGTCCCAAAGTCTGGACCTGCTTTTCTGGTGATGATTGGAGGCATCAAATCAGGGGCTCCTGGACGGTACGACTCTTCGAGGTGTTATACGTTCGAGGCCGAAAATCGGTCCAGAAAATTCCCAGCTCCCAGCAATGCCGAGTGTCTCTCCAGCCAGATTCAAGCTGGGATTCCGCGTGCGCAACACACGCAGGGTCAACGCAAATTGGAGTCGATGGCGCTCCCGATCAAAGGCAAAGGCCAGGATCGTTTCGCCCTCTTCGAAGTCAAAGGTCAGCTCCACCACCCAGGGGATGTTCACGATATTGTCATCGGATTCTTTGTACATCTCCATACGGCACAAGGCATCTAAAGGGTACACCTCTCCATTCAGCTCCAAATTCAGCAGGTCACGATCCAGGAAGGTCTTTTCCTCAAATCCATTCACCCGCATGATCATTCCCTGGCCGGTGACAAAAACGGATCCTGTGGGTGGGGGTTCTCCCAGAGGTCTGGTGGCCCCTGACGTGCGGTGACTCCAAAAAAGCGTTCAGAGTCTTTAGTGATGTTGTGACCAAATAACCATCTGCATTCCAACAATGAGATGGCGGATGTCCAAATTCCAACTCTTCCCAAGCCGCTTGAGCCTGGTTCAGCTCGAGCATTCTTCAATCAATCGGCCCAGCTGTGCGCCCGGGGTTTCCCAGAAACAAACGCCGAACACCTAACACCTTACTAGCCCTACTCACCCAAGACATCCACCAGCTACTTCTCCGACCTCCCATCGTCACGAAAGGAAAATACTGGAAACGAATCAAACCATGGCGATCTGGCCTTCACTAACATGGCCACCCACTGGTTCACCACTCTCTCCACCAAACGCTGCTGTGAGGATTCCAAGCTGGTCTGATACTGCCGAAACTCAAACGCGCTGAGTTGCCTCAAAACGCTCAAAAAGCCGCTCGGTTCCGCTCGGTTTCGGCCTGTCATTTTTCCCTCGGTTCCGCGGTTCGTTGTAGACGTATGCCCAAAAGACCCCACCCACAACAAAAAGTAATAATATTCAAAACGAAACAAACGAAATCGGAACAGCTCAAGCAAAGTAAAAACAAACGAACTGGGCCCAAAAACGGCCTGGTCCACGTACTTCCCTCCGAGCGGCATGTCCGAGGCATCGTTCTCTCGATCCGCCTTGTCCACGGAGGTGCATGCCCCAAGCAGTTGAAGCACGTAATCCATTGCTCCTGCCACGGGAGAGAGGAGTGCGTAGTCGCATAGGTGCTAAGGCTTTGGACTCAATCGAGATTTGAGTGCACTTCTCAAGGGCCAAAGTGATCAATCAGGTGCTAAAACATCAACAAAATCCTCCTAATGCCATTTGAGAACCCCGGTCAAATCTGCGGTTACCGCTCTGGCTGGCTGCGTCCAGACATTGGGACGACATGGAAGGATGGGAAGGAGGACAAAAACACTGAATTTAGTCCCTTACTCTGGCTGACGAATCTTGCTAAAGAACCATGTCCCACACACAAATCCGCTGGCCAAGACGAAAACAAAGAATGGCCCCGTGCTGCGGATTACTCAAATTGCAAAAACTCTCTCTTGAACCATCTTGAACCATTGAGAACTATTGGCACTGTGTTCGCTTGAGCCAGCACAGCACCAAAAATACCAAAGCGGAAGCTGAAGCAACCGGCCAAACTCTCATCCAGCAACCCGGGAGGCGCTCCAAAAACAGAAACGACCAAACGCCGAAAACGCCGAAAACGCCCGCCGAACGTCACCGGCGGGGGTGACCCGGTCACCACCGGGTGGAACAGTCCGCCGCGGAACCCAACGGCCTTCTTTCGGACTTCGGACGGCCTTCGGCCGGTGGAAAATCCGCCGCTAAATGGTGGGGCCTTTGGAAAGACCCGGCATCCGTCGCGTCGCGCCGGAAAGGCATTCAAGTCCAGCTGTGATGGTTTGGGACCCCCAGATGGGGGAGACGAAAGGTTGTTTTGACGGGTGCGCTTGGAGTGTTGCCGTCTTCTGAAACACACGCCCCAAAAGAGATGCATCGAAATGAAGTCATGAGAATGAGGCTCTCTCGTCCCAAAGCATTGCAGCCGTCACTTGCATGAGCCAGGCCACATTGACAGAATCAATTTGTACAGCCGAGCCAGCAGGCAGCAGCACTAGTGTCATAGTGTCACTGGGAAGCAGAAAATGCAACGACATCTTCAGCATGTTTCCCCCATGCCGCATGGCCATCATGTGGCGCCATTCCATGACTTTTGCCTCACTTCTTAGGGCACATCTCCCCAACAATACACACGAGAATTCTCTTGTGTTGTTCGTCATCGTGAACCAAACTGTTGCGAGTTTTTTAGGGAACCTTCGTTCGGTGCCAGCCATCCAACCGGTGATGCCTTGGCCAGGACGATGATCACCATGAAGCCACTGTTCAAAAGCCAAACAAAAACAATGATGTTGAAGCTCTCGCACCAGTGTATGCATCAACCAGACTCATTCTAACATGGAAACCAAAAGAAAGGACACACTTACTGGAAAAGCATGTCCACATGTGCAACCACCCAGTCCTGCACACAGGGTGGAACCTTTGAGGGGCTGAAGAGCAAGGACCCACAGTTCTGCTTCATACTGTGACAGTTGACAACATGCATTAGAAGGTGTTTCACCTCCTTGCGGGAATAGGACAACTCCTAATCCTAAGAGGCTTCGGTGTGAAAGCCACCAGCCAGCCACCAGCACTACACATGGAGTTCGACCAACAGGTTCGTAAGGTCAGCGTGCCGGTTGCTTTCACTAATTTCACTAGCTGCATGTGAAACCACAGCTAAGCTCAGCTATTTGGATTGACCAAACCTGCCAAGGCAGCTTAGAACTTGCAGCTATCAACCACAGCCCAGCCACAAGCGTGTACATTAAGGCCAGAACTTGCCCCACACAGCAAGCCAACATAGAAGTTTCAAAGGAACCCAAGATCGGGAGCTCCACACAACGCTGGCACACCACCCATCTAACCTACACGTTTCGCATGAGTTTCAAATGCAGTGGGGTGACGAAAAGCAAAAGGAAAACATATCCGGTCCTCCGAAAGACTGCAGCCCCACCTGGCGTCAGAGCCGGAGATGCGCGCACCTCACACCAAGTCAAGATCAAGGCAAGAGCTGCCGACGGAAGGAAGGTGCCCATGACCGTCGAAAACGAACACTCCGAACCGGTTGCCATCCGAATACCCACCAACCTCAGGGCTGTGTTAACCATGTTATGCCACATTCTGCTCAACCCTTCAAAAGTTTGAGGGGACTGATGCGCACAAACTGAGCGGAAGTGGGCCAACAAAGGACAGGCATTAGTGAACCTGTGGCCGCCAGTGGCACACACATAGCACATAGTCACATGGGATTTTTGGGTTACCTCTGCCACTTTAGGATTCGAGGTTGCAATTCCAGAGAGCACGAGGGGGGCTCACCTTGTGCCAAGGTGGCACACCTGGCTCGTTTTTCATACTGTCTTGGCCCCTTGCCACGACATGATGAGCTCTCCAACCGCCCTTCAGGGAACCAAGGAAACAGTCTTTGCGCCACTCCAAAACACACTCACGTCGATGGGATAGCCGTCCGGTCCAACCCCATAAGCACCAATGTCGCCGCATCCCCAACTTGCACCTCTTTACCCTGTCCAACTTGTCCTTTGTTCTTCTTTGCCTTTGGCTTTTCACTTTTCTTCTCCTCAAAAACGTGGCCATGAAGAGAGAGAGAGAGAGAGAAGGGAAACAACAAGCCATATATCGGTGCTCTTGGCATCCCACCTGTGCTTGTCCCTCTTCTGCTCCTGAACGCGCAGTGGCGGCCAACACGAGCGCCAGCCAGAACGTCCCCCCTTGTGGACCAACGGCGGTGGTAACGAGTCCGTCTCACGTGAGGCCGTCTCAACTGCCCCGAAGCCGTGTCTTGCGAGCAAGCAGCTGCCGAGATTCGCGGCCTTGTCTTTGTCCTGGCCGAAGAAGAACTTCTTGGAGTCAAAAGCAAGACTGTTCAACTCAATTGGTGCAAGAAAGTTCTTGACGACTCGAAAAAGGTGCGAGACATTGGCAACCTGTTGAGGTACCACACTGCAGAGCACCTTCAAAAAATGTGCGATGTCACAGACGAATTAGCCAAGGAAAAAGTCAGGAGGCGGATTAATTACAAGGCAGAGGTCCATGGGATCTTGCCATCATCTACCTGCTGAATCCAAACAGAACATGATTGGTTTGAGCCTGCTTCTTCATTCTCCCAACAGAACGGGTCTCGCGGACTTCGCCGCAAGAGTCGTCCTGCCTTCTTGGCCGGCAATCCTGCTCCGCATTTGTGCTCTGGGTGGGCAAACTTGCCTTGGTCAGAGTCAGGAATGGTGGAAAGGATCAAAAAGGTATACTGGCCCCACAAGATTTGGGACTTGGCGGACAGCTTTCAAAAATGCCTTTGGCAAATGAATTAGGAATTAAATATGCAGTATAGCTCCAAATGCACGTGTGACCAGCATACTTTGCTTAATAAAATCTCAGATCTCCGGGAGGAGAAAAAACATGGTGGCACTTTTGAGTTGCAGTACGTCCTGACAGTTCCAACCAGAGCCTTACAAGTTAGCCATATTATCTCGCTTCGGATTCTTGGTGTTTCCAAATGAATAGGGAAGAAGAAAAAACAAGAGAGGAAAAGAGAAAACCGCTACCTCGCCCCTCTCAGTAGGATGAGGTGATCTGCTGAAACGGCACGTCGGCCCCGGCAAGTCGGCGCTAGCTGAGCTGAGCGACACTCGTTGCCCATGCGGCACCAGCCCTTGGACTTCCAGTGTCGGCAGACCACCGCAGACTTGGCCTCACGAGAAATTCAAAGCGGTGATCCAGACTCCTCCAACCAGCCGATCCAGGGATCCAGGTCCGGGAGTCCGTGACCTTGGAGTGATCCGGTGATCCTCATCCGAGCAGGTGATCCCAGAGAATCTGTTGATCTTAGGGCCTTAGGGAGCGGTGACCCAGGTCCGAGGGTTATGATCCCATCTCCTGGGCAGTCGGACTTCCCCGGAACTCGCGTCGGGGAAGTCCTTTCGCGAACGACGAGATATGACGAACCGGCGCCTGTCCGCCGGGACTGTCAGCATTGTGGCCTTGGAGATGGGAACTCGTCATGCTTCTGCAGACCCGCCAAGGTCAAAGGAAGGAAGGAAGGAAGGAAGGAAGGATGGATGGATGGATGGAAGGATGGAAGGATGGAAGGATGGAAGGATGGAAGGATGGA